ACGACTGAAATAATAAAGCAGCAATGGTGCGCGAAGAACGCCTGAGACCTGCAACACGTCTGTATGGCACTTTACTCGCTGAGGGTTGGGGGGGGAGTGACATGAGCAGGCACACTGCGTGACGCTTCCGCATGCGCGGGTGACATCACATCTTACTTTCCGTGCAAAATATATCCATTATTGTGCCCCCCCTCCCCCCCAAAAAAACACAAAAGTCTATTTTTATATTTTTGCATGGTGTACAGTCTGGAAAGTACCCACATGGCAAATTTCAAGTTTGTTGCATGTCGGGAAGTACGCTATACATTTTGAACAGACACACATTCACAAATTTCCATTTTATATATAGATAATTTTGCATTTCGATTTCGTGACTTGCTTACAATTTTCTCAATTTTGCACTCCTATTGTGGTTTTTGTACTGTGCTGTTGTAACTTGCTGACCCACCCATACTGGATTCCCCCAGTCAAAATAAGATTCTGATTCCCATGTTAAAACCTCTTATTTTGAATGGGATTCCAACGGAGGTTCTGCCAATGACGATCCACGCATTCTGGCCATGCATCGGTGTGGGTAAGGACCATGCCACGGCTGGCCTCCAACATATTGTCCAGGCCCTACAGCCGTTTTCATTTTATTCAGTTGGGATTATGAATAGCATTCATCACCCTCTACTGCAATTACTTGGCAGGACCCTATTGAATAAGCCTCGGTAAGGCTATCCAGCATAACTAAGTTGAATAATAATGATGTTGGAATTGCCATTGCAACGTATGGGTAATGCCTAGATAATGTTTCAATGGCAGTCTGGCTAATACCAGCAAGCGGCATCACAGTTGATTCCGGATGAGGAATCGTGAGAATCTCTCAACTTTTGTCAAATGTATCTGGTAAAGCATTTTAACACAGTTGGAAGGCCCAAAGACATTTGCAGTGTACGGAAGGTCACTTTAAAATCAAATCCATTTGGGCCTCTTGAGCATTATTTTTTTTATGAAAAAGCACAACAAAATTTGCTAACAGGCAGATGCATACAAACACAGGTGAATGTGATTGCAGGCATAATGGCCAGTATAAATGAAGGCACACATAAAAACTCCAGACATGCTCAGTATTTTGGGAAAGTGCTGTTCGTGAGCATGTATTAAGGCCGGCACGGCACGGCACACGAGGGGGTAGGTGACCAACACTATGCCTGGCTCCCTAGTACTGATGTTTACACACATGATGTCCCCAGGTACTCTTTTAAGGCTGAGTCGACCTAGGAGCAGTTCACATATTCGCCACTGTTATTGTATAGCCATAACAAACTGTTGGCAAGTGCTGTTAGCGAGCACCTATGAAGTTTGATTCTCGCTCACGGCCAACACCAGTGACGATTATCTGAACCGGTCCTGGGCCTCCCCTCGATCGACTCGGCCTCAGATGAGCACCTGGTGCGGTGGTTAAACATCGCCACTGGGGAGACAAAGGTGGCCGGGTGCGGTGCTGGCCACCCACCCCCTCGTGTGCCGTGCCAACCTAAGTGCTCCCTACACAACAGAGTACACACACACCCTCATGCAACCACATATATCATAGAATTCTACTTATAAAGTATTTTTTACCATTCTTAGCAGGAAGTATGTTAAGAGTTACTTTTCTCTAATAAATATGCAAATAAATAAACCTGTTAAGGTTAACTGGCACAAAAAAGAATTGGCATAATGAACAAATGCAGCAGCGGAAGGTAATATTAGCAGTTTTTGCACAGCATCGCAAGTGCTAATTGGCTGGGATGTTATTACTTTGGCAGTATAGCACTTAATGAAGGCCCCTTTCACCTTCACATACCACCTACCCCACTTCTGTATCCCAGCACACCACCTTGTCTTCCTTGCTCCAGACACCTGCTGACAGGATGCTCGTGTTATCTGTAGAGACTGTCGATCATAGTGTGGATGTCTGCACCAATCATAACATGTGTGCATGTTGAGCTTCTTTCTCACCATACGTAGCCAACCGTGCTAATCGGAGTTTGTGGGGGGGAAGGACCACAAACTAAACTAATCATCTCAGCCTGATGTTATTTAGTCAGCAGCCAGTTGCCTTCTTTTCATCAGGTCAGGCTCATTGAGACAACGTTTCTTTGCAAGGGAGGTGTAGGTTGGAAAGTGAGCTCTGAAATCTGTGTGGAACGCGTGGTTCCCACAGGGACACTCTGACATGGGAGCATGTTAGGGATTGTTCTGAAGCCTCTTGGGGCACCATGGTTGAGTATCCGTGTCCACCTGTGAAGTGAGTGAATGCAGTTGTTGTGCCTCACTAGGAGCTCTTGTAGACGCAGGCAGGTTCCCCTCGTGTGAGATACTTATCCACGCTCTACGCATGATAACTTTCGCACGCTCGTGTCTTGCAATTGTTTGCAATGTTTCTGTTCTTTAACTTTTTATATTTCACATTAATTTCACACTTTGTATATGTTTATGAGTTTAGCTGTCTGCCTAAAAAGTTATTGATAATAAATGCAAAACACATCTGGCATTGAAATTGGATCCAGAAAAATCTATAAAAACATACAAAACACACTTCAGCATTAATTTGAAAGGTTTAATTGACTCAACATTATAAGATAGCAAAGAGGATGTTTTAAAATTATGAAGAGTTTGATGTCGCAATCAACTGAGATCTTATTTTGTGCTTGCTACTTGCCATCTGTTATGACACATTTCTAAAATATGCTGGCACATTAAACCAAATCACAGGTTGTCACGGTTATTTTTTTGTAATGAATTGCTGTTGTCAGATTGCCCTTCCCTTGTGAGAAAGTCAAACTAAATGCATTGGTCTTTAATGAGCATGCCTGCCTATTCAAACACTGTCGCTCCGTGAGCTGCTTTTCTTGAGAATGTGGGAAATTTTGGGTATTTGCGTGCGGTTACAGGCTGTTATTTTATGCATACAAATATTAATTTGTAATCGACTTTCATTATTTATTTTTTGGCTCACAAGAGCAGCGTGGGCTCAGTTTTCTATAATGCTGTTAACATTTGAACATGAATAAATAAATGACAAATAATTTAGAGTTTGTGATGTAATGGTGATATAAGAGTAGGTTTTAATTTTTCTGGCAATTAAACAGGTGTTAAGATGTTCAAACACCCAAACAGAAACCTTTTGCACCAGAGACAGCCTTCTTTTGGGCCTAGTCTCAACCAGTGTTAGACCAGAGAATGGATTTTGGCCTTTTGGCGTTCTCTGGTCTAACGCTGATTGAGTCTGAGCTATAATGAAGGCTGTCTCTGGTGTATATTAATCAGCTTCAAAGACAATGGATTTATTACCATAGCATGTTTTTGTTTGCATGTTCACCACAAGTATGTGTGGTTAATGCTGACATGATTCCTTGCAAAAGGTGTCGATCGTGTTTCGATCGAAACGTCGTAGTTTTTTGTTATTTTTAAAGAAAATAACAGAGACAGCCTTCTACGACGTTTTGATCGTGTTGCTATCGGAACGTCGTAGTTTTTTTGTTATTTTCTTTGAACCGATCTACGTGACTTTACTGAAAGACCCAAAGAATATGAATTCCTCCAGTCACGAAAGCTTTAAGTCGTGATAATTATCATTCCAGGTATTTGTAATGGTGTATAGCCTGTACAGATACATTGGTGTTTTTGAGTGTGTGTTCTGAAGGAGAGGTGGCATCATGATTCGTACTGCTATGTTACAAACGCAGTGACTTGCGTTGTATTCCTGGATATGAACATAACCTTTGAAAATTGATATATAAACATGGTCTGAATCTCTACGAGGTCAACTTTCAGCCTTTTGTGAATGTTACATCAGCACCGAGGAAACAAAGGTCGCCCGGCATGAATGGTGTTGGCCGAGCACCCACTTTAATGCCATGCTGGCCTTCGTATGATTGTGTGTATGTATTCTGTAAGGTCAAACAGGAGTCTTTGTGTACGTGTGTGGTTTGTACTAGAGGAGTGGGGGTGAGGTGGTTTGTGCACTGTTCCAATTCAATCAACTCTGGTTAGAGACGTCTTTGTGTGCCTATGTGTGTGTCTCTCTCTGTTTGTCTTTGTGTGAGTCTCTCTCTGCTTCTGTGTCTGTCTGTGTGTCTCGGTGTCTATGTTTTGTCTCTCTCTCAAATCTAGCAATCTTTGGAAGAACGTAATCAACCAGGTGGGGTGTTGACTCTTGTGTTGGCCGACTCTCTGTGTTGTATTGCATTATATTTCCAAGTTTACTATGTTTGTTTTCTCATTCATTTGTACCTGATGATGGTTGATTGTGTAGCAAACGAAACGTCGTAATTTATTATAATTTAATTTCTTTCTACGTGACTTTACCGAAATAACCAAAGAGTAATTCCTGCAGTAACGACATCTACCATAAACATGTTAGATTTGGATGGCAGATGTGTGTTAGAAAGGCACCACGTGTTTAAGAAAAATAAAATTGACTTGACTTGATATCTTTGCAGGGCTTGACTCCCACCCCCCTCCCCCTACAGAAATCTGCATTGACCAGTATGGTGAAATATGGTCAAACAACCCCCATTCAGTAGTGCATTAACAGAGCTTTCAAATTATTATTACATCCTAATTAGTTGATGTCTATTATTAATTGGCTGCTAATAGCAACTTAATATATAGAGCACTGCAGAGCTCAGTGGGTGGGGTGGAATTTACTACCGGCTCATTGCATGGCAGATTTTCCCACTTGTCTGCTTCCTTGCACCACTTGAGTCGTCTCTCTTTTGAGAGTGAGATATACTGTGCAAGTTACCAGTTGAAATTATTATTACGCCTGATCTAGACCTTCCCAAGGCCAACTTGACCTAAAATAAATGCTGGGCAGACAACAGCAGTAAGGCTGGTGTGGTGGCCATACCAAGACCTTGTGTGGTGTGTTTGACCTTAATGGTGCCTGCCAAAATCACCAGGCCCAACGCTCCATAATTCTAACTTGGAGATATTTGTCCTTTCCTTCTATTCTGTGCATACAGTTACTGGCTGACCAACAAGGTGTACATCAAAAGACCCACGACCGGCCTGCTCATGTACACACTGGCCACCCGCTTCTGTCGCGAGATCCACCTCTATGGCTTCTGGCCCTTCCAGTACAACATCGCTGGCCAACCCGTGCGCTACCACTACTATGAGGGCCTTCGGTACCGCTACCGGTCGCGTGCCGGCCCACACGCCATGCCGCTCGAGTATCGAACGCTGCACCGCCTCCACTCTCTCGGTGCCCTCAAGTTGACTACAGGGAAGTGTACTGGTCGTTGATCAGCGTGATGTGTAGGAGCGACCCAAAGCACGGGGAGAGAGAATTGCACGTGAGGATCATCAAAGGCCCCTCGTCATCACAAGGTGCTAGTCTGCACCTCTGATGAGCACGGTTGGCTGCGTACGGTGCGGAAGAAGTTCAACATGAATACATCAGTATACATTGGTGTTAAATCATCACTGCACATTTCTTATTAAGTGGAAGGTGCACTCTTTTGAGGGTCTGTCATACAGTGTTTTGTGGAAGTGTGTTACAAGTGGTGCAGAGGTGAGTGGTGCCGTAATAAGCAAAATGCAGGTAAAAGAACTGATGAAAATAAGATATCAGCACGTCTTTTCCAAGCGGAAAAAGTGAGAGCCACAAAGAGGTTTTGTGACTGCTGGCTGCTTAACAGAGAGGAAGTGTAGATGTGGACCTGAAAATAATTGACTTCCCAGATGAGCACCGTATGGATTCACAAACACGCGGTGTCAGCTTGAACCTCCAGCCCGGTCAGTGTGCTGGCATCAGGGGACAGAAGCCATATTATACATTGGGAGTTGTTACTCTGCACGTGAGAGGTGATCTTCGAGTGAATACTTACTCATTGTCTTTGACTAGGAAGCATATCTGTAAATCCTGGAAAAATATCCAGAATGTACAAGAACATTTGTTTTCAAATTCAGCTCACAATGAGTGCCAGTGGGTCACACACATCAATCGCTTTTACTACTTAGCTCAGCAGTTTATTTCAGGCCCCTTAAAGCTTGTGCAGAACTAGCGGGTGCCTTTGTGTGCTGTGTATAGCGTCGCCCACCTTGCCCTGCCGAGGGGTGTGCTCTACCAAGCCACGCACACAGACATCGATGTGTATGGGGTTCCTGGGGAGGGAGTGCGGCTTGCCGTGACGGGAATATGTGGAGAAATAATGATGCTCCTTGTGTTTGGGGTTGAAGGAAATGGTTTTTGGTTTTACCTTCGTACACATTTCACGTGTTCCTTCCTCGTGTGATTTTGTAAAGTGTGCACTCACAAACGGTAATCTCGAATAGTGAACACGGATTTTTTTTTTAGATAAGTGCTAATCTCTGTCCTGTGCTGCAAAGATGACGAGATTGTGCATTATGTATTTATTTGGGGACAAAACCTTTTAGTTTTTTTACATTTCAGCCCAAACACATTGACCACTGCTTAGCAATGGAAACACTTTTTACACCAAATAACACCAATACAGTGACATTACTCTTAGTAAGTAACAACTTTATGTTTTGGAAGGCAGTAATAACATTGAATATAGAGTAATAACATTGTTATTACTCTATATTCATTTGATAGCTTAATTTAAGTTGGGTACCTTATTCTATCAGTGTGCTCAGGCTATTTTACCTTATAAAAACAAAGAAGAAGTTTTTTTTGTGAGTGAATTTTCACTGTGGTTGGTAAGATGATTCAGTCAACATTTTTATCCAGCATTTGGTTATTTGACTAACGACTAACAGCAATCTTTGTTTTTGCTTTCATTGTAGAAGTAAACTTTTCTGCAATTTTACCAAAATGTTAGCCATCCAATTACAGGGTCATTTTTAAAATGCGGTGTATGCGTGTGGTCTCCCTTCTTTACCAAGTGATAATACGTTTGTATATATTATGTACTGCCTTCATGAGAAGACAAGTACAAGCCACTCGTCTTAATAAGATGTCACTTGTGTAGATGGGGGCACAGAGGTTGGGTCGAGCGCATGGCGCTGCATTCAGCACAATGGCGTTATCAAACAGGGTTGGCAATGCATGGTGCACTTGGCCACTGGGATTTCGATACGAAAAAGGTTTTCCTCTGCTGCCCCCCATAGTCTAGAACTCCCCTTTCCTCAGCGGTCCGTGGTCTCAACCCCATATCCCCTGTTCAAGTCCAGGCTCAAGACCTTTTTTTGCCTCTGCCTACGACTGACAGTTTCAAACAATTAATATGCTCACTGTTCCGTATACTGTCTTGAGATATGGTCGCATTTAAATGCTATATAATAAATTCAAAGTGTGTTGTATTGTAAAACAAGGTAAAAGCCACTTGTTGCTTTTAAAGCTCTTGCTGGAAATATGTACGTGTTTGAAGACTGACCGGGTAGCAGTAGACATTGGTAGTGTTTAGTTTTTTTGTACTGTGAAAATGAGTAGACGCTCGTGTCCCTGTTTTTTCATATGAGCCTGTCGTGCAGGCAGCTCCACTGTTAGTCCGAGCAACAAAGCTGCAACTGCAATCAACCTCAGGTGCAGTATCCCCTTGACTGGGTGTGTATGAGGACCATTGTTGAATGGATTGTAAGCTTAGAGGAAATTCTCTGTTATGTCTATCATGCAGGAACACACTGTGTGGATAGATTCCCTGTAACATCAAAAGAGCAACAGGATATGTTTTATTACAATAGAAAGTACACCATGTCTTCACGGATCAGTGAGCGCGAGCTAAACTGGCATTGTCACCTGCTGCAAGTCTGCCTTGAGCCGTGCTCATGAGCCGTCTTGCTGCCGGCGGTGCATGATGTTCCCTGCTAACACCCCTCACCGTTTTACGATTGCCTCTTTTGGGGGAACTCAAATGTAGAGCCCTTGCCGGGGAGGCTAAGGCCTGCACCAGTCGTGGTTCAATACAACGCAGAGACTGGGGGGTGTCTGCAGAGACACTGATGAATTGAACCACGACAGTGCAACATCTCTTAGAAATAAGAGGAAGAACTGTATCTGATATCCGTAAAAACACTACCTAAACAAAGGTAGCTTGATATTACTTAGGGTGGGTTTGAAGTGCCACTAATGAGAAGTAGACATTTAAATGATGGTCTCGTGCAGTAGTTCCCAACCTGCGGTCAGTGGTCTGCAAGGCCTGGGGAAGTGGTCCGTGTGGACCTGCTGCAGATGTTACAACTTTTTTCACAAAACACCATATTTTTTAAATCTTGACTTAGAGCTTTCGTGACTGCAGGAATTCATATTCTTATTTTCTACTGCGTGGTGGTCTGCAAAAACGCTTTGAGTGTTGAAAGTTTTCCGCTAGTCCATGAAGCTTGAGAACCACTGGTCAGGCGTTTTGTTTATTGCACTCTCGTGATGTCGCATCATCAGTGTTGGGATATCACCAAGGCGCTGTGGCAGTGTGCATGATCGTAGCGTTTAAGCCTTTTTTCCCTCAGTAATGCAGCTTATAATTGTGTCAGAGGTTAATGTAATTCTTGTTCAGGCGAAAAGGCAGTTCCTGACCATGTTCTGTGGAAAAATACTGGCAAATTGAGACTTAAAATTATTTTACAGATTTTATTCCAAAAACTGGGGCAACTGCTTTTATCCTCAAAACATTCATTGGTCCTAATGTTTTTGTTGAATATTATTGTTTTCGCATTGGCTTGTCTTCTTAGACAGTTTATTTCATCTCATTTGAATATTTTTTTAATTCCAAAATGAATCGGTGAAAAAAATTGGCCTCTTTTGATGTATTCACTGTTTTTAGAGGTCATGGATTTTAAAATCCAACCTTTGTAGCAACTAGCCTTTGAACAAAAGCAAAATCTAAGAAGGGGTCCAAGCTGGTATCGTCTGATATATGGTTAAAATTAATTGCTTATTTTTAAAACTGAACATGATGCAGAGGTTGCAGTTGAACATCAGTTATTATGAAGCTGATGGAGAGGTTGTTTTGCATGACAAGTGAAGTACTGGCATAATTCCTGATTGGTTGAATTGCTAAATTCATCGAATGTTCACATTATTGGTTTAAAAGGTATAATCAGCTGGCTTACTTCCACTCAATATCAAACTTGAGGTCAGTGTTTAAGTAAATTTGCCAGAGGCAACTGGAGGTAGTGGATGTGTACAGTCCTTGAGAAAATCGCCACAGTACCAGATCTCGTGAGGCCTTTCTGCCTATTCCACAAGAGCTTTAGCTTCAGATATTGCCATTTTACAAGGAGTGCCATATCCTACCATGCCTCTCTCAATACTCCCATTAATGCTCTGGAAGTGCACAAGTGTAGTTTGAGTTGGCGCCCGCACGAGCCAGCCAGCGAGATAGTATTACCTTATCCATTGCATGCAGAAAAATCAATTAGTCTTCGTATTTTGTAATTGGCTTATTTTTATTGAAGCAATAACCACTGCCTGCAAGCCTAATAATGATGTAAATAATGTCATTTATTTCTCTGGTAATGCCTCATGAGGACATTTTTCAATTTGCTATTTATGCTGTTAAAACCCAAACATCGGTGTATAAGGGAAAGTGTAAAACCCAATGTCAATGTTTATATTGCGTAACAACCTTGCACCTGGAGGAAGTGGGGTTATTAATGCGCGTCTATTTTTAACGCTCGAAGACGAACATCACTGTTAAAAACAAAACTCGTATGCCTTATAGTCTGAAGACTTTTAAAATGATCCTGCATTGGGATGTTTGACCAATTACATTTTAAGGAGTATTTGCTTGTGTAAGGAAACTGGAGATACCCACGGGTAAGGGAGTTTAACAATTCTACTTGATATACCAATCTTTACTCAAAGCTTTGGATCACAGGTGTGCCCCACCATCCTTGAGTTGATTTAAATGTGCGCTTCTCCAAGTGTCCAGTTCCATGTGCTTCACAGTTTGGCCCCACTTGTGCATTGCACTTTTAAGGAAACTCATCACATAAATCATAGAACACATTATTTAATGACAGCCTTGGTATTTTTTTAAATTAATGTTCCACATTTTATTCGCCAAAATATTGCCATTGTTTGGGTATCAGATTCCTGCAACGTTGCGTGTTACGGGTGCTGCTGAAGAATGAAGCGTGTTTGCTGGAGGTGGGGTCACGGCCTGCCTTGACGGTCTTTGCCTTTAATTTATGTGCAATGGTTGTCGTCAAAAACTTTAGTATTTTGTTAACTTTTCGTAACTTTCTTTTACAGTCGACAAACCATTGTCTCCATAATAAGCAGCACAACACTAGCATGTTAACAACAAAAACATAGTAAATATTGCAGAGTGGTGCGTCGCGTGTGTGAATAGCTGCCCACTATGCGGGCTTGGCTGGCTGCCATGACCACCGCTGCCGTGGCTACGGCAGGTTGCCACGGACACCCAACCCCGGGCCCCCACTAACCCTGGCCTTTCGTGGCTTAATGTGACCTTTGTTAGGTTTTCATTTTTAATAATAAGGGATCGGAGCAGTTGTTGCAGCTTTATCCATGTACGCTGTGGGAGAAGCTGATACATTTTTGGCACGTGAGAAAAAGAAATGTTACGCAAGTGGCGTGAGGAAGTATTCTAAGCGCCCTGCGAAGACATTCTGTAATTTAAGGTCATCGTTTTTACAGGAGTTTTGAGTGGACTAAGTGTGTTTTAATTGTCGGCGCTTTATTTCTAAGGCTGGTGAAGTACTTGGTGTTTGTGATGGCTTTGAAAAATAAATGATTATAAAACACGCCCTGTTGTCTACAAAGTATTCATGCACGTCGCTATCAACTGGTCGGCAATAATTAGCTGGGAGACTTCATATTTGAGGTAATTTCTCGAAATGTTTATCTCTACATTGTTAATTAGTTCTCTTTGCCATATTTTAAGATTGCTTCAGTGACAATCGTGTTTGTATAGCATTTTATGAAATGTAATTCTTATTTTGAAGAAAAATGTGAAAGTTTAACATGTTTTTGCCACTCCGATGTATATGGGAACTTTGCATTTCAGCTCCCCACACAAGTACCATGATCAACGTATGCGATAAGTTTCCTAGCCAGTGAGAGAGGCTTGCTGTGTAGTTTATTATTTTCCCATTCCCTCCATGTAACAAGGGTAAGCAGAAATAGCTGAATTTGAGGCTAAATTGAGTTCAGGTTAAACCAGAGCCATGACCTTGACTCGAATGCCAAACCCAGTTCAGCCATTTAGTTGACAACGCAATTTTGCCTCTTTCATGAATTGAAGAGACTGGGAAGACTCTTAAGCCATGTGTGGTCTTGGCCTTCCTGCACCCCCTCCCGTAAGAGTGTGAGCATGCCCACCCACATATGCTCTTCTGAAATTGGCCCGAGTATTGAGTCTTGGAATCCGATCAGGCTACCAGCACCAGTTCACGCCACATGCATGCAAAGTAAACCTCAAATCATCAAAAAGAGTGCCAGTTCATTTGTGCCCCATGCAGTTGGCTATAATGAGCTGTTAGAGCTTCTGGCAAGAGGGTACCTCGATTAAATTTGTATTCATCTAATGTTTCAGGCTCGCAGAGCAGGTGCTGCTGGCTTTAATAGCCTAGCCATGGTGGGCACACGTAGGGGCAGACTCCTCTTGTGAACATACAGACCATTGTGGTGTTGTCTCCTGCAGTGACATGTGTGTTTGTGATTCTCAGCAATGAAGTGAAATGTGGAGTGAGCACAGTTTGCTAAACCATGGCGAAGCAGCAGCCTGGAGTTGATTAATCATAACATCGGTCGCCAATACGCTCCAGGCTCCACACTTATGAACACGGTCCTGTGCCGGGCACCCACAAAGCTGCATTCATAATTACCGTAATCGCTCATTCATTCAGTCGAGCGGAGGCTTCACCCCACTCCCGAGCGCTTCAGGCGAGGACTGCCATAGGGTGAGCGAGAGGTGCCGCGGCCCATCGAGACGTGCCGCGCACTCTCGGTGAACGTGGGACACGGCCAAGACACGAACACCTAGAGTACTGTACTCGCAGCGCGGTGCGTAAAGTCGCCCTAAGGCCAAAGAGGTCTGGCCGGTTTGCCCCCACACTCACTTGGTGCCACCACAGCGCAGCTCCCCACCACGTGGTGCAAGGGATTCACTCCATGTGAAAGCCACAAGGACATGCGACTTGCTTTCATTTTTTTTTTTAAAACGCTCACCTCTGTCCAGATGCAGAAAGGCGAGACCACACGTTCCTAAGGTTTCGAGGTGATGGGGGGGGGGGACACTGGCAATTCCAAGTATTCCCTTTAGGATAATTATCGGAATCGCTGATGGTATTCACCAAACTTATGATATTGGTGGTGGCCTAACTCAGGAAGAGGGGTCACCCCATCTATACGTGTCTTGACGATAGGCCGAGGATGGCAAGTTCGAGGGTGGAGCGAAGTGTGATCCGTGTCCGCGGTGGCTGAGGCCCGAGAGGTTCACGGCTTTGTCCTCGACACCCATTGGTGCAGCACGTGGCCTCCTGTGAACACCTGAAACACTTCGACACAGTGCAAGGAAAGTGAGAAGCTGAATTATCTAAGGGTAGAGGTCGTCAAGATGATGTCAAAATGGGGGAGGACCCACTAGGCTATTACACGTGACCTTGGGCCACATGGTATCCATGGCCAAAAGGGTCCCTTGATCCAGGTTGCACATGTTCAAGCCATAATGGTGCCCCCTGGACACGTCAGATATTGTAGGAGGCAGTGTTCCTTATCTCGTGTGGTTAATGACCTCGATTGGTGGCTCAGCTTAGCCCAGCTGACCAGGGGAAGTCCTGAAGTCGGTGGGGTCCTAGAGACATGCCAATAGACTGGCATGGGGAGCCTGCTGCGAAAAATGGGCCTTTTAGGACGAATGGTCAGAGACAAAAATAAGTGACAAAGCATAAGCTTCGTAGAACCAGGGGCGATTCCATTTAGCCCAAGCACAGCGCGTAAGGGGTAGTGGCCGAGAAAGACGTGCTGATCAGGTGCAACAAGGGTCTCCCAGGTTAGACACATTGATACTTCTGATGTCTTTGGAGAAGACCGGGTTTTAGCCTTCGCGCAAGCAATCTATGGGATGTAGGCAATGCGACTGCAAACGGGTTCAGCAGAGAGATTATACCCAGGAAAGTGGATGCTCCACCCGGAAATTTAAGAACAGGTCGCACCGGTTTGACGGCTGTGTGAAGTCCCCTTCCCCACCCGCTTTAGCAGTCGTGTAGGCTGGGGACACGGATGTCCCAGGAGGGCCGCCCTGTCCGCAGCAGTGTCCCAGTAGAGACGGTTGAGCGGTTTAGTTGGGGAGAGAACTTCCCTACCGCTAATGAGGCTCTGTTTCTGGTTCATTTGGACCGCGTCGGAGTGCCGGCCACCCATTGTAAGGTGGCGAGGTCAACAAATCTTGTGCAAGAAAAGCGCCCATTCTATACGACCGCCCGACCATAAGCCGACGCATTTCTTCCGAGCTGTTTTTTGTGCTTCGTTTGTTGTCCTTCACCCCACACCTCCGATGAGCACGGTGGGCTACGTACGGTGCGAAAGAAGTTCAACGTACACACGCACGGACCAAACATGTGCGACGTTCAACAGCAGCGGTTGAAAAATATCTATTGGGTGCTTTTGCGCCATCTGTAAAGCGTTCGCATTTGTGTGTTCATTGCTTGTGTTGTCATATTTAGTGAACTTTGGTTAAATGCGTCAACCTGTAAACGGCTTCCTGCCAGCACGGCCGGATAACGTTCCAGGGAAGTAAAAAAATAATCCTGATGGCGAGCGATTGACCACACGTACACACCACATTCGGTTACACAAATCGCACATGTGCAAGGCACGCACCCACAAGGCCACAGAAACAAAAAAAAATCAGTTTGCACGCAGAAATGGTTTTATTTATATAGCGTCAAGATAAGTCCATCTGTTCCTAATTCCTGCGCAGTTTCAGAATGAGCCGCACCCAATGCAGAGAGACCAGCCCCCGGTGTGTCAGACTTCCTGTCACAGTGAACCCATCACCTGGTCTGCAGCCACGTCACCTGCGGGGCAAGGTCGACTTGCCCGTGTGCACACACATTATTGCAACCCACAGCCATTTGTTCCTTCCGTGGGGTAACACGGCGTGTCATTTGGTGGCTCTGGGTGAAGAATGTAAATCGTGTATTACGCAACAGCAGATACCGACTGCACGCCGCAACTCGGCAGGTAGTCGTCGTATTTCGCAGCACACGGCAAGTCAAAAGCATATCGCTAACGGATCAACAACAACAAAGTGCTATATGTAACCAGGACAGGCTTACCCAGTCTCACGCCTCTTCTAGCAAAATCCTGAATATGATATTTCAAGGAGTGTTTTGCATGGAGATGCTGGAGTATTCCAAGGAGCCCCGTGTGTAGACGGAGATAACGCCTGAAGGCCGACACGGATGCATGAACCAGATTGCAATGCTGCCATCTTCTGGCCGCCTTGCATTCCACGTTTCACAAACGCGACACCAACCCTCTACTCCAGAGCAACGATTCACGAGTGTGCCACCGCACCCAGCTTATATAAACAGATGTAGAGGCACAAAGGGCTTTCTTACTTCATTGCCAGGATTTCACTTCTTTGCACTCACTGTCCACACAGGAATGAGAATCTTTGAACCCTTTGCACATAGACTCTCAAAATATACACACACCAAGGTTAGGGCCTTTAAAACCACAAAAGGTTGCAGAAAAGTAGACGTCAAGTTTCGCCCTTTGTACTTGAAAAAAATCACAACTGAAATGAACAGGCCACTTCTCGAACAATACTGCACATTACCTGTGTTTATTATTGCAAACCAGTGTCAAACAACCCAGACACACGCGTGCATTCACAGTATCCGTCCAACTACACTTGGCAAGGCCCCCGAAAAGAACCGTGTAAACATGTAAGAGCATCCCCATCGCAATTATACTTAAATACCCATCACCAGCAAATAATAAAAACAATTACCTTTGTTTTTTGACACAACCCTTTAAAAACAGACTGCAGCAGCCACATTATGGAATTACAACTGCCCTGCAGAAACCAACAAAAACAAAACACCCCACGTGTATAGCTGGTGCATATTAAATAGAAAAAGTTTACAATTTCCCCAAAAATATATTCATTTTCCAACCGTCACCCTTAGAGAAAAAATATCGTCATGCTACAGGCCCAACGGAAAGTGTGCTACGGACGTATTTACCATTCGTACAAAGTAGTCATACGCGTACAAATCAAACGAGTTCCACAGCCGTATAACTTTGAAAATCTCGGTGTTTTTACACTTTCACTTCACCTCCAACGGGTCAGTATGCCACCACCATATACACGACTGCAGAGAAATGGCTTGATTTGCTCCATAAGCCCGTACAGCAAAGCTCAGTCGTGCAGTGGCTTTCAAACTCAAAGACCGAGAAACAACCTTGACCCTTGCACATCTTTTCCAGCCGTTCTGCTCTAACACGCAAATTATGCAGGACACACTCCACGTTTGTGCCGGTCCATTTAAAATGACTAATGTGGAGAGGCATCCTCCCGTAAGAAGGCAGTGCCATGGGAACGGGGTTTACGATCCGACACTGCTTGTGCACCCAAGTGACCCTGGAGCTGGGTGTTCAATTGATACAATCCAGTTAACCGGCATGACACGAAAACCCACGACAGCATTGAAAACGGGCTCAGTCTGATATTGTAACGCCGTGCTCTCAGAAAAGCACAACCGGCAATTCGCCGCCGCCCTCGTTATAAAGGATAATTATGGATGGCCCTCTCCTTGTGTCCATGACGCTTCTCTCCTTGAGACCGCCATGGAAACACTCGTCATTGCTGTTTGATTGGTCCATCGCCCTCGCGATCGCAAGGCTGGGAATGGGGAAATAGGTTTTCTCCTTGTTCCACGAGCTGCCCTTTGGGAAAGAGCAGCCGCTCTGACATCACCTGGCACGCGCACAACACAGAGGGACGGCAATGCCCCATCAACGCCAGGCTGGGGGGGGGGGGGGTTCACTCGGCAGACAGAACTCCGAGTAATGAGCAATTGTTTGTCTAAGTGCAACACTATCCTCAAAGTTGTTGAGAAATGGGGGGGGAAATTTGGGAGAAAAAAATAATGGGAGGATATGGGACACTGCGGTTATAACGGCGTAGAAGACGTCACAATGGAGAAGCAGTAATAGGCGGAGAAGAGGAAGGTCGTGAGCAAGGACTTGGACGCGAGATGAAGTTGAAGTAGTTGCAGACAAAGGGGACGGCAAACGATGAAATGGTGCCACCTCGAACCTCTTGGCCACATGTTTACGGCGAAGCGTATAAAATCAGGCATGCTGTTGCACTGGTTTTACTTCCTTCCCAGCGACGTTAACTACATCGGAGTGTTTTCTTTGAAAAACAAGCACATTTTTTACACATTAGTAGCTGTTGTGAAAAACTGTTGGGAGTAAACCCCCAGAAGCTTTAATTAGTAAAAAGTATATTCTGTGAGCCACTCGCAGAATTTAGTCAACACAAGTTTGTGTGAAGAATGTCTGCAACAGGGATCAGTGTGTCACAGACTTGCGAGCTCATGGTGGAGAGGCTCCCAGATTTGGGTGTCTCCTGTCTGGGTGGTGGCACCTTGAGTGGAAGGGTGTGTGTGAGTGTGAGCAAGTGAGTGTGTGCGTTTGATGCGTGCGTTTGATGCGTGCGTTTGATGCGTGCGTCTGATGCGTGCGTCATGGCAAGGGTAGTTTTTTTGATGCGTTTGTGTTCAGGCACGCAGGGACTGAACTGTGCACCGACACGAACCCAATTTAAAGTTTACATTCTGTTCAGGAGAGCAGAGGTTAATCCGACCGGAGTGTGGATGACAGCCGATGTGACTGTTGTGGGCGGTGAAGGCGTGTTTTTCTGCGCGTGTATTCAATCAGAGACGCGCGCGAGTCGACGTGGGCAGAGGCGCTACCGTTGGCGCTTGGCCTCGAATAGCGTCGTGTCTTCGTCCTCGTCTCCCAGGTCGTCCGCCAGCGGGTCCATTTCCACCTCGTCCGCCGGCGTCACAATCACGCCGTACTTCCGCGGCTTCCGGAACCGTCTCCTCATTCTGTGTGGTGATGCCGTGCACACACGTAACCAGGTAAGGCCCCACTGAGCCGTGTTGCTCTTTTGCTCAAGCGACCTGGCTATCACAAACAATAGCTCAATGAAGATGGCTTATCACGTGGAAATGTATAGCAGCCAAATACTCTAAACGCGTGACATTGAATCTAAATGTGGAGGGAAAAACCGGAGGACCCGGAGACAAATCCATGCAAGCACAGGGAGAGAGAGACACGCAAACTCCAAATATGTGTCAGGGTCAGGATTTAACCCACGACCTCCTGTATACCAAGCGAGGGAATTAACATCTCACCACCACGGCGCCCTCTTGTAATGGTACAAGAGGTGGTGATGTGGCCCTGCGGCAGTGCATCCACAGCACCTTGCAGAGGTTCACAGTTTGAATCCAGCGGATGGCCCGGTTATTAATGCGGCCGTACCAATATTGTGCGCCGTCTGCTTCACAGCAACCGTTAAAGATTGCTCCGATGTCATTCGCAGGGACAGACCTAGACCTTGTGCATACTGGCGTCAGGGTCACAATAGAAAATTCCACCGCAAATGACTCATTTGGGATGTGAGCAATCTTCACCCCCTAACGGTAGACGAATGCTCACAGGTCGCTCTTGCAAATGAGCCTCATCCTGGTCTTCTTAAGTTCTCACCAAGTTAAACAAAATAAAACTTGAAGCAAGCAGTCACGGGTGCAATCACACGTGTATTCACACACACGCACTCCTAGATTCATTTACTTCTAATCTGACTGCAGCGCTACACACCTTACGACTCAGGAAAGTAATGTTTTACTGATTTAAAAATCAAACAATCTCAAAATGCTCGTATCGAATCGTCCGCGTAAGAATACATTACTCACAATTCATGCGAGCATTCCCTTTTGGCTAACAAAACGGATGCCACAGCTCAGTCAAAACGCAAAAAAGCGGTGCAAAGAAGACGAACGCCGTAAATCACCGAGTCGCAGTTTGAAGCTCCCGTTTAACACACGAGGGAGGCCGACCGGAACCCAAACTTCACGCCAAAATTAATGTCAGATGTGTGATGACGTCAGGCCACCTGACATTCGTTGCACAACGCGTAATCCAATATGGGTGACGTGTACTGACTCGAAGCGCACACAGGTGGCGATGTGCCCAGCGGCAGGCTCGGGAGGGGAGCTTATCTCATCAACTCGACTGGGCCACGTGGCTTGCTCTGACCCAATGCCGAGCGAGGGTCACTGTGGATTCCTTCAGGCATGCCGACGGCTGAACGATAAAACTCAACTTTTTTTTGTTGGACCAGATAAGACCCACTGAGCTGTTTAGATCTTTTTCAAAAGCGACCTGGCTATCACAAACGATTGCGCAACGAAGTGGCTTATCAACATGTGGAAATGTATAGCAGCCAAATACTCCAAACGCATGTTGATTCTAAATGTGGAGCGGAGGACCCGGAGAAAAATTCACGCTCCCATTGGGGGAGAGAGACATGCAAACTGCAAACATACAGCAGGCGTCAGGGGTCGGGATCGAAACCACGACCTCCTGTATACCATGCGAGGTAGTTAACATCTCGCCACCGCAGCGCCCTTGATGCTGCTGTTCACTCAAGAACACCCACAAGCACCAGATGGCTCTTGTTGCTTTAAGGGTGTATACTATTCTGCAATTGCAAACACAGCTGACGGCAAAACAAATTGTAGAACAGGCATTGTTGGGTGGGGAGGCTTGTACGTCAGGTAACATTCAAAATTAAATTACAACTTCCTTAATGGCCCATTTTTTTTTTTCAACGGGAATGTGAATTAGATCAGGGGTTCAAGCTCACGTCATACAAACAACAAACTCAAGTGACCATTTATATTAAGGTCACCTCTGAACAGTAAGCCCCAGGACCATACAATATTTGTGCTACGGCGAACGCGTCAACAGATCGTGCGCACACATCCACTTTACTAGGCGAACGCCTCTTCAGCAAGAAAGACTTTAGTTGCAAAATAACAAAGTTTACCTGGTTCTTTTTCATAAAATATAATTGTTGAAAAAAACTCTACAAACTGGAACCTCGTGAATGTCGACTTCTGGCCGAGCTCTAAGCTGCTTAGAAAGTTCACTTATGCACAGACACAAGATGAACACCATGAAGGTATTATTGATACAAAGAAAAAAAACGAGACAATATCAAGTCCGATTTCTTGGACACGTGTTAAAAGAACACGCAACTGGATACGAATGTGGGAAATGCAGAGGTAACAGACTACTAAGCAGCACAAGCAATGTGAAGTGGATTCAATTGGGAGTAATCTCATCCAAAGTTGTTGAGTTCAACAATTCATCAGGGACACCGCGAGATGGAAGGCCACGACCGCGGACGTTCTGGAACTTCTTCCGCCACCGACAGTGGCCAATCGTGCTCATCGGAGACACGCAGAGCGAGCGAGAGAGAATTATCACGCAGTGGTCAGGAACATTTATAATGATGATGATGACGACGACGACGATCTCCGGATTATTCAACATCACTGGGCAAACAAGCTCCGCGTGTGCTCGGGGAAGGGGTGCAGCGCCAACCTCAAGCGAGTCACCGAGTAATTGCCGCTGTGCCCCGGGGTCAAGTGGGAGGAGGAGGAGGGAGGGAGGAGGGCCTCCTTCTCCTCCTCCCTACGCCCTCGTCACACAAAGGAGGCCTCGGGGGGCACGAGGCGGAAAGGAGAGAGCGAGAGGCAGCGCTGTGACAATAAACACAACCCTCTTGTAGATCACGCGGCGGCGCGTACCACACATGTGAATGAATACAAACAACACACAATGTCACTGTTCGGTCAAGGACTCCACCGGATTGATAATAAAACATTGTCAGTGACGCGTCGTGTATATATGTTGGGCCGGACCATCACGTACACGTGACATTGTTGGATCGATAAAACGTCCAAGCACCGGCGTGTCCGACTAGCCGGTAGAGGAGCTCTGCCGGGGGACAGTTCTGAGTCTCCCCGAGTGGCCGGTCACAACTCACTGCCCCCAGGTGAGGGGTACGGGGTACGGGGGGGGCGAGAGGGGTGAGGAGTACGAGGGGGGGGGGTGAAGAGTACGAGGGGGGTGCAAGGGGGGTACGAGGGGGGGGGGGAGGGGGTACGAGGGGGGGGGTACGAGGGGGGGGGAGGGGGTACGAGGGGGGGGGAGGGGGTACGAGGGGGGGGAGGGGGTACGAGGGGGGGGAGGGGGTACGAGGGGGGGGGAGGGGGTACGAGGGGGGGGGGAGGGGGTACGGGGGGGGGGGTACGGGGGGGGGAGGGGGTACGAGGGGGGGGTACGAGGGGGAGGGAGTACGAGGGGGAGGGGGTACGAGGGGGAGGGGGTACGAGGAGGGGGGGGTACGAGGGGGGGAGTACGAGGGGGGGGGGTACGAGGGGGGGGTACGAGGGGGAGGGGGTACGAGGAGGGGGGTACGAGGGGGGGGGTACGAGGGGGGAGGAGTACGAGGGGGGGGGGTGGGAGGGGGTACGAGGAGGGGGTACGAGGGGGGGAGTAGGAGGGGGGAGGAGTACGAGGGGGGAGGAGTACGAGGGGGGAGGAGTACGAGGGGGGGGGAGTACGAGGGGGGGGGGAGTACGAGAGGGGGGGGGTACGAGGGGGGGGGTACGAGGGGGGGAGTACGAGGGGGGGGGGAGTACGAGGGGGGGGGGGTACGAGGGGGGGGGGGTACGAGGGGGGGGGGGTACGAGGGGGGGGGGTACGAGGGGGGGGGTACGAGGGGGGGAGTACGAGAGGGGGGGGAGTACGAGGGGGGGGGAGTACGAGGGGGGGGGGTACGAGGGGGGGGGGGGTACGAGGGGGGGGGTACGAGGGGGGGAGTACGAGGGGGGGGGGGTACGAGGGGGGGAGTACGAGGGGGGGGGGGGAGTACGAGGGGGGGGGGGTACGAGGGGGGGGTACGAGGCGCAGCGATGGGGGGGCGAGGGCCTCACCGCAGCGCAGCGAAGAATCCGAGCACGGCCACGACCCCGAGGCAGAAGTAAGCGGCGCGGCGCAGCACGGAGGCGTCGAGGGAGACCCCCAGGATGTGCATGGACGACGACGACGACGTGGAGTTGGGGCCGACTGCGCCACGCCTCCGCGTCACGGCCGTGATGTTCGGCGAATTCGCAGCCGCAGCGGCAGCAGTCGCCTTGACTGCGGTCGCGCCTTCTCCATCGCCGCGCGTTGCGGCCGCGAGCAGCAGCGACACCAGCAGCAGCAGCAGCAGCGAGGCTGTCGTAGCAGCGCCCAGAGAGTGAAGGGCGCGCATCGTGGCTCAGTCGACGGATGGAGCGGGGGGGGGGGCTGGGAGGGTGTGAGACGCGAGGCCGCGCTGCTGTCAGCTACCGCCGCCTAAGTAGCGGCCGGGGCAGTCGCTGCAGGAGTGGTATCAGCAGTCAGCTGTGCCGCTGCCGCTGCTATCTCTGGCTGCGGGTGACGACGGGGCGCTGTGCGTAGCGCGGCTGCGGCTGCGGCTCCTCGTGTCGACGGCGATCGGCCGCTGGGCGCCAGCGACGCTCCCCGGGTGACGCGGGCGGCCCCCACGCGCGCCGCTCACTTCCGCATCCGGGCAGCCACCGGAAGTGCCCCCACCCTGAACCCCCGACCCCGCCCCCACCCTGAACCCCCGACCCCGCCCCCACCCTGAACCCCCGACCCCGCCCCCACCCTGAACCCCCGACCCCGCCCCCACCCTGAACCCCGACCCCGCCCCCACCCTGAACCCTGACCCCGCCCCCACCCTGAACCCCGACCCCGCCCCCACCCTGAACCCCGACCCCGCCCCCACCCTGAACCCCGACCCCACCCTGAACCCCCGACCCCGCCCCCACCCTGAACCCCCGACCCCGCCCCCACCCTGAACCCCCGACCCCGCCCCTACCCTGAACCCCCGACCCCGCCCCCACCCTGAACCCCGACCCCGCCCCACCCTGAACCCCGACCCCGCCCCCACCCTGAACCCCGACCCCGCCCCTACCCTGAACCCCGACCCCGCCCCCACCCTGAACCCCGACCCCGCCCCCACCCTGAACCCCCGACCCCGCCCCCACCCTGAACCCCCGACCCGGCGACTTGGTCGCGTGATGGTTGCAGGCGACGGGGGACACACGTGCGCGCGCTTCGTTGGTAAATACAAACAAACAACGAGACGACGAGGTCTCTTGTCTGCCCGCCCACACACACATACCGCGCGGTGTGGGTGTGTGGGTGTGTGGGTGCAGCGATTGTTGTGCGGGTGACCGAGCGAGCTTCTGTGCTGCCGGGCTCGGAGCGAGCCGCCTCTTCACAGATCGCCGCTCCCCCTTGTCAACAACGGCCGCCATCTGGGTTAGGGATCTACATGGGCCGTCGACTTGAGAGAAAAAACAAAATTATCTTCCCAAACGACTGTCGGGGGATACGTTGTTCCTCAGCCGTAACAGTAGCGCAGCATCACCCTACCGGGTTGGGGAGGGAATGCAATAGAGTATTTAGCAAAAATAAAATTAAAAATTCGATGTCCTTCACCAACATGGCCGTGACAGGGAGCGATCACCCGATTGGCTGAGCGGGCTCACGTGGCGCGAGCCGACCAATGGGGTGACGACGCGGGCCGGCGGGCTCGCTGTTTTAAAATCTCGGGCGACTTTTTCCGTTTTGAGCTCAACCGCTGAGGGCTGAAGGCCGAGAGTCGCCGTGCAGTTAAGTCGCGGGTGGTGGTGGTGATGGTGGTGGTGGTGATGGTGGTGGTGATAGTGATGGTGGTGATAGTGTTGGTGGTGATGGTGGTGGTGATAGTGTTGGTGGTGGTGATGGTGTTGGTGGTGATGGTGGTGATGGTGGTGGTGGTGATGGTGATAGTGTTGGTGGTGATGGTGGTGGTGGTTGTGATGAAGGTGGTGGTGGTGGTGGTGATGGTGGTGGTGAAGGTGGTGGTGGTGATGGTGATGGTGGTGATAGTGTTGGTGGTGGTGGTGATAGTGTTGGTGGTGATGGTGTTGGTGGTGGTGGTGATGGTGGTGATAGTGTTGGTGGTGATGGTGGTGGTGGTGATGGTGGTGGTGATAGTGTTGGTGGTGATGGTGGTGGTGATGGTGATGAAGGTGGTGATGGTGGTTGTGATGGTGATGGTGGTTGTGATGAAGGTGGTGGTGGTGATGGTGGTGGTGATGGTGGTGGTGAAGGTGGTGGTGATGGTGGTGGTGATGGCGGTGGTGATGGTGGTGATGAAGGTGGTGGTGATGGTGGTTGTGATGGTGATAGTGGTGGTGATGAGGATGGTGGTGGTGATGGTGGTTGTGATGGTGATGGTGGTTGTGATGGTGGTGGTACCCCCCCCAGCGCGTTCCGCGTTCGCCCGCATTCGTTCCGTCTCGTAGCCCCCACCCGCGGTGTCACGATGGGCGGCAGCAGCAGCGGCAGCAGGCATCTCGCCGTGGACCTGCAACCCCAGAAGTTCGCGTGCCCTCGCTCGATCTCCGGACACGGCAGTCGAACCCAGTGGGCACGACTCTTAAACCTCTTCACCCCCCCCCCCGGCGCCTCTGTCCACCCAGGGGAAGAAACGGGGCCCACGGCCGTGGCGGGGTAACGTGTGGGGGTCACCCTGAGGCCCCCACTCCGCACCGAGTGGCATGACGGAGCGATCGCTGTGTCCTCGTGTTGTTCACCATCAGGGAACCCGCAGAAACGACTGCGGTGTCGGCGGCGTTGACGCACGCGGCTCTCTTGTTATATTGGTTGCCGACCCCTGGACCATGCAAGTCCGGCTTACCATGGGTGTCCAGTTTACCATGGAAGTCCAATTTACAACGAGAGTCCAGTTTCCCATGGAAGTCCAATTCACCATGGAAGTCCAATTTACAATGGGAGTCCAGTTTACCGTGGAAGTCCAGTTTACCATGGAATTCCAATATACCAAGGGTCCCCAACCCCCTGTTAGGAACCGGGTCGCACAGCAGGAGGTGAGCAGTGAGTCCGCGCGTGGCCCGCCCCCATTATTTTATTATTTACCACGTCCGTCCCCGCCTCTTTTCCGCACTTGTCTCAGTCACAGTGTTGGTAAGCCCACAAGCTGCTAACCCCCTGCCAGAATGAGTAATAAACGTCGGCCAGAGAGCTTCTTTGAAAAGGGGGAACGACCCAATGATGAACCCCCCCTCCCCCCGGTTCGTGAAAAAATTGTCTTCCACGAAACCGGTCCCTGGTGCCAAAAGGTTGGGGACCGCTGCAATTTCCAATGGGAGTCCAGTTTACCATGGAAGTCCAGTTTACCATGGAAGTTGAGTTTCCCATGGAAGTACAATATACAATGGGAGTCCAGTTTACCATGGAAGTCCACTTCACCATGGAAGTCCAATATACAATGGGAGTCCAGTTTCTCATGGAAGTAAACTTGAGAATGGGATTCCACTTTACCATGGAAGTCCAAATTACAATGGGAGTCCAGTTCACCATGGGAGTCCAGTTCACCAATGGAAGTGCTCGGCAATCTGCGGCTCTGGAGCCGCTTGCGGGTCCTTCAGGACTGTTTGGTGACGTCATTTAATAAGGACCACCGTCTCGTTCACATGTATTGTGGCTCTTGAAATATTAGGTTTATTTAACCGAATTTGAAAACAATAGCTCTCGTTATTTCGTTATGTTTGTTGTAAGTGTCGGTGTGCCGAGTTGTTAATTCCCCTCAGCTGCCTCGGGCATGAGTGTTGTCAGTAGTGGTGGTGATGCTGTTGTTGATTCATGGTGACGTCTGTCAGAGAGAAACCTGTCGAGTCTGGAGCAGTGAAATCCTCGACACGGTCTCGTCTGTCTTACTACTGGTGTCTCATTGTCTCTCCCAATGTATATTCCCGTGTCTGTCTCATCCCGTGTCTTTTGCCTAACTGCTCCAGTGTCTATACTCCCGTGCGTGCTCCCGTGTCTCGCTCTAGCCTAACTCGTATTCTCTTATTCAATGTCTCTTTTCTCCTTTCAGAATCAGAATATTTATTTATCATGGAGGAATCCGATGAGCTATGAAGCTCTTTTTTCAGAGATGTCCAGTCGGGGCGGATCTGCAAATCTGCCAATGTTTCCTCCAGTGTATGTCTAATCCCGTGTCTCATGCCTTCATGCTGTTTTGTATCTTGCCTTCCTGGTGTGTGTGTGTGAATTTGTTTTGTGTGTGGGCATGTGTTTGGCAAGGTAATGTAGTGGTTAGCATGCTGCCCTATGAACCAGGCAATCCGAGTTCGATTCCCGCTCACGGCCGACACCAATTATGAATATCTGAACCTGTCCTGGGCATCCCCTAGGTGGACTCAGCCTCAAATGAGTACCTAGTATGGTGTGTAAACATTGCCACTAGGGAGACAAAGGTGGTCGGGCGTGGTGCTGGCCACCCACCCCCTCGTGTACCGTTCCTGCCTTCATAGGTGCTCGCTAACATATCTTGCCTCAACAGTCTGGTAAGGCTTTACGGCGGATCTTTGTCTTTGGTAAGGTAGCACAGTGGGGAGCACAAGTGGCGCATCTGCCAGTCATCTCGGTCAATCCATAACACCATAATACCTGGGTATGTCCCGTGACCTGCTCGCAGCGAGCCTTGCACACTTCACGTCGCCTCAAGATTCACCTAGCCTGGCGCAAACACCATTGTGATGCCACCGCCACTTCTAGGCGAACAGCGGTTGCTGTGGATGTACGTGGCCGTGTGTTTGTAGTGACTGACTCAGAGACAATAAGAGTAGGAGTTACTCTGGTTTATTAACACAACCTGACAGTAACACTTAGTAACTATGTGGTTGTTTGGGGGCGCCACAGGCGCCCCCCAAGCACGGCTCTCCCTCAGGGCAGCAGTGGAGAGAGCGCGTCTGGCTCCCTCACGGCAACAGTGGAGACAGCGCGGCTCTCCCTCAAGCCAGCATTGGAGAGCACGGGGGTCCCTCAGGGCAGCAGTGGACGGAGCACGGCTCTGCCTCAGGGCAGCAGTGGAGAGAGCGCGTCTGGCTCCCTCACGGCAACAGTGGAGACAGCGCGGCTCTCCCTCAAGCCAGCAGTAGAGAGCACGGGGGTCCCTCAGGGCAGCAGCGGACCGAGCACGGCTCTGCCTCAGGGCAGCAGTGGAGAGAGCGCGTCTGGCTCCCTCACGGCAGCAGTGGAGATCGTGCGGCTCTCCCTCAGGACAGCAGTGGACAGAGCACACAGGGCAGCAGTGGACAGAGCATGGCTCTGCCTCACTCTCACTCAGCCGTCTCCTCCGTCTCACTCACCCGGCTGCTTGCTCGCGGTCACATGACGCACTTCAACCAATCCGGGGGCGTACATGTTTGGGAGGAGCGCAGCTCTGGTTGGCTGTTTGCTCGCGGTCACGTGATGCACTTCAAGCAATCCGTGCCGCGTTAATCCACAATGACAGAGTCACAGAGCTGGGTGTTTATATATTATAAGTATATTGTGGCCTGGCTCCGCCCCCGGCCATGCCTTCCTTCTGGAACCAACTAGTGGGTTCTCGACGTGCCCCTTCCGTAACCCTTCCCCTACACCCATCTCTGGTCTATCACGTGGCCTGCTGTCAGTCAGGGCTGCTGTAAGCTGCAGATCCCCTTCCCTGCCAACAGCTAGCGCTATGCTGCTACGTGACCGATTCTATGTCACTACATGTGTTTTGTGCTTGTTACATATGTGCGTGTGGATATAGGTATGTTAGTGGAGTCCGGTAAAAACAACCCCCTACCTCATGGTGCCGGACGGGCAACGCTGTCATGGGCAGTGCTGTGAGGGAAGGGCCAATTCCGATTGGCCTTTCCCCTCATGGCATTTGTGATCACAGCGGCCAAATGGGGGCTCTGGACGGGTGCGAGGGGCTGGTAACCCCTCCACCTTAAATTAATTACCGCTAAACCACGACGGGAAATTTTAATTAACAAGCTTGTGCCGGAGGCCCCGGAGGGACAGGCATCTATGATGTCTCCTGGCCAAACCCCATTTGGCGGAGCCAGGAGACTGAATCCTTACCCTCGGGGCTCCTCCAGAAATAAAAAACCACTACGTGTGGCCACGTGGAATGTTCGAATGCTCACTGCGGAGGAGAGGCTTCCACTCTGTCGGGAACTGGATCGGTACCACCTGGATCTCTCTAGTATTCAGGAGGTCTGGTGGACCGGCTCTGGCTCCTGCCACCATGAGGGGTGGACAGTCCTCTTCTCGAGGCAGGAGACGGCCAAACAACAGGGAGTGGCTCTTCTTATGAACAAAAGAATGAAGGGGGCATGGGAGTGTGGCGGTGAGGTGTGGGAAGCTGTAAGCTCCAGGCTACTTTGGGCTCGCCTTCTCATCAACCAGAGGTGAGTAGTGGTGGTCGTGGTTACTTCTGCCCCCACTGAATACTAACATCCGTGGAGGGATGCAGGCAAGGCCGATGAGTCAGATGCCTTCTATGATCTGTCACAGGTGCAAGCTAAAGTGGCCCCTCGGGATAGAGTCATCTTGTTGGGTGATTTAAATGCCCGAGTTGGTGATGATGCTGGCACCTGGTCTGGAGTGATGGGAAGGCATGGGCCAAATCAGGACAATAACAACAGCAGGTAGCTGCTAGATTTTTGTGCAGCCCATGGGCTTGTAATTACCAACACGCTGTTCCAGCATTGGCACATCCACACAACATCATGTATGCATGCTGGGTCCAAGCAAGAACATCCGCTGGACTACATAGTGACGGAACAGCGGATACGGGCCTATGTTCTTGACACCAGGACCTACCGTGGAGCTGATCTGCACACTGACCATCGACTTGTCATCTGTAAGATGCGCCTGCCATTCTTCCACTCCAGTTAGCTAATGAAAATTGCAAGCGAGAATTTAATCATCGCTTACGGCTGGGGTTGGCATCGTCCCCTACTCCTCCTGATGTCCAGAAGAAATGGGCAAGGTTTAGGACTGTGGCTCAGGCAGCTGCAACGGCTGCTTTGGGTACACGGTCCAGACCTCCCCAGAGACCCTGGCTGACAGAGGAGGTGTTCAAGCTGGCTGAGGAAAAGTGACAGGCTCCAGCATCCCACGTCGGAGAATGAGGAGGCTTACCGCAGCCTTCGCTCGGAGGTTCGGAGAGCCGTGAGGCACTGCAAGGATGGGTGGTGGTCACGGGTTGCTGAGGAGATGGAGTCTGCCTCAGTGGCCCTCGATCACAAATCGAGGGCCACTGTAATAAAGGTCGTGGAAGCGACTTCTGGAATCCGGTCTTTATTTGTCTTTCTTTACAACACTCCTTCACGCTGCTGACAGCGTGAGAGGGATAGAGAGAGACGCGCGCAGCCACGTGGCAGCCTGGACCCCCGCTCTCGCGTGGCCTCTCCCTCCGTTCATTCCAGTTCTGACCACGTGTTGTTCGTCTCCACTCCTATTTAATACCTGGGTAACGTGGTACCTTTCCACTAATCCTGGTTAGCCTCATTGGAATCTTCCAGACTCCATCGTAGGCTCCCGGGACCACGCCCCTGACTCGTCTCCCCATTGGCTGTGGCTAAAGCCAGCAGAACCAATCCTCTACTTACAGCTGTCACCTTCCCATTACGTCAGGGCCACGCCCCTAGGCTTCCCCCCATTGGCTATGGACCAGGACCGGCAGAGCCAATCATTGTGACGAGTTGTGATCCGTCAGCGACCCGGATATATCCTCACATTACAATTCCATCAAAAGGGGAAAGAACGGTGATCCAATCTCCGAACCCCAGGAACAGGTTTGCAGATTTGTTGAGCATTTCTGTGAGGTCCGAGGGGAGGGGACATCCCTCAGCCTGGATAAAAACGTGGGACAAAGTGGGGATGACCCTGCCGAGGCTGTGGTGCCTCAAATATCCCCTGTGAGTGGCTGGCCGAGGTGCCATCCATTGAGGAAGTACTGAAGGTGATCTCAAGGTGATCCAGAGTCTGAGACCAGGAAAGGCACCGGGTAGAGATGAACTCCCATGCGAAATGCTGAGGGAGGGTGGCGTTTGTGCACAGACTGCCCTACATGACATAACAACAGTCTGGACTACTGGACGGGTTCCGCAGGATTGTAAGGATGCCCTGGTGGTCCCCTCTTTAAGAAGGGGGATCGCACAGACTGTAACAACTACAGGGGAATATCACTCCTCAGTGTGCCGAGAAAGGTCCTGGCAAGGATTATTCAACATCGCCTTGCTAGGTACGCTGAGGAGAGGCTTGCGGAGCCCCAATGCGGTTTCAGGAAAAGGCAGTCCAGCACAGATGCCATATTTTCTGTCCATCTGCTACAGCAGAGGTGTAGGGAATTCCAACAAGACCTACATCTCTGCTTTATTGACCTAGTCAAGGCCTATGATACCATCAGTAGGCCTGGGCTCTGGGTTGTTCTTCATGCTTCCCGCGTCCCTGACCCTCTGCTCGCGATCATTAAGGACCTTCATGATGGTTAGCGGGCCCGGGTAAAACTACGTGGCCGGGAGTCGCAGCCATTCCCTGTACACCTTGGGATGCGACAGGGATGTCCTCTGGCTCCCACATGATTTAACATTTTTTTCGACCACGTAGTTCGTGAAGCCTTCAATAGCTGTAACAGAGGAGTTTCCATCTGGTACAGATACAATGGGAGGCTGATTGATGCCCGGGTGCAGTCAAGGGGTGGCTCTCTATTGCTCAACCATGTTATGTATGCCGATGATCTGGTAATTGCTGCTCACTTTAGAGGAGGAGTTGGAGGTGCTGCTGCTGAACCTGGAGCTTGCCACTAAGAGGTGGGGCCTTACCATCAGCCCCACCAAAACTAAGCACCTGCCTGGGTATTTTGTACCATTGGACACTCCATCCCCACAACTCCCAATTGGTGATGGGGCAGTTGTGGAGAGTGGAGAGTTTCCCATACCTGGGCAGTGTGCTCATGACTGGCTCCGGTTTAATAGCAGAGGTCTCACTCCGAATCAGTCGAGCGGCATTATCTTTTCATCGGTTGCGTAACGCTGTGTGGAAGCTACCTGGTTTGTCGCTCCGCAGGACGCTTCAAGTCTTCTCGGCCACGGTCATTCCCTCCCTTTTCTACGCTTGCGAAACGTGGCCCTCCCTAATGGAACATCTTCGCTGGTTAGAAACATTTAGGCTGGCCTGCCTACGATTCATCCTGGGTTTAACCAGGCTGGATTGTGTGAGGAGCTCACAAATCCTTGAAAGATCTGGAAAAAGTCCCATCGGTGAGCTCCTCCGGCAGGCAAGGTTGCGTTGGCTGGGTCGTGTAGCCCGCATGTCAAGCCACTGCATGTCCAGCCACCGCATGCCTAAATAGCTTTTGTTCGGCCGGATCGAGGGGGCTAAACGGGCGCGTGACCTCCTGCCAGCGGGCGTTCAACACTTCACGTGGCCTCAAGGTGCACATAGCCTGGCACAAGCGTCGTGGTGATGTCACCGCCACTTAGTGGCGAATGGCGGTTGTTATTAGTGGAGTTGGTGTGCGAATTAAATAGTGTTATCGTTTCTCAAATGAATTAATTTAAAACATAACAGTTTAGCATTCTAAAACAGTTGATAAATACTCGGGTTGACCAATGGACAAAACCTGTTTTGTGAAAAGTTTACAGGAAATAAAGTGAAATTTCGAGGTTAAAGAAAACCCTTGCTATTAAATTATAATATCCTTAACCAAGGCAAAAGGATATTCTGACTACAGAATCTGCAAAGCCATCACCCCAACCGTAATGAACGAGCCATCTGAAGATCCAATCAAAACCATCACCTTAACTTACATAGCACGGATAAACAAAATGATTTCCAAAATTATGAACAAACACAAGATCCAGGTCCGATTTAACAGTGCATAAAATTCGTGACCTGATCCCATCTGTGGAAGACAAGATTCCTGACATGCAATATCTTGGCATCTACAAACCAAGCTGTATCTGCAGAAGCAGTTACATTGGGAAACCAAACGACATGTCTCGGACCGTGTTCGTGAACACAAGGCAGATCTGAAACACGGCAGGACCAATACTTCTGCAGTGGCTGATCATTACTTTAATGCGGCTGGCTCACATGAAATAGATTTTTCTAAGATGATGGTAATTTGCAAGCCGACTGGCTATCAACAAAGATTTGCTCACGAAGCCATCCATATATACAGACACAATTTCAACCGAGACGATGGTTTTAAACTTGGCAATCATTAGAAAGATGTCATGACTTGTTTTGTGTTTTCTTGTCCACCTCCACCGTCAGCAGTGTGGGTGTGTGGAACGAGGTGCAATGCTTTGATTGGTGCAGACCTACTGCCGGTGTCAAGCCCTCTCCTACATTAACATTAGCTGCCCCGCCCATCTCTAAACCTTTACAAACAACTTGCCCTCAGAGGCTAACCTCCCTGTTCCTGATGACAACCGCTTGCGTTGCGATCGAAACGTCATGATATTTTATTATTTTTTATTCTACGTGACTTTACCGAAAAAACCATAGAATATCCTTAACCAGCCAAGAATATTGTATAACCTCCACTCATTACTCAAAGATGATTAGCAAAACCTAACAGTGCCTCCCAGTTTCAATTTAAAGCTTCGTGACTGCAGGGATTCATATTCTTGGTTCTTTCGGTAAAGTCACGTAGAAGGGAAATAATAAAATAATAAAAATAAACCAATAAAATTATCACGACGTTTCGATTGCAACACAAGCAATCATCATTAAAATTTTTCTAAATTTCTTTCTGTGGTTGTCACACCTGATGAGAATTTTATTGTTTTATTTTTATTATTTTATTATTTCCCTTCTACGTGACTTTACCGAAAGAACCAAGTGCCCTCCAGATTCAGTGGTAATAGTGGTTAACGTGTGACACGGTAAACCGGCCACCTGAGTTTCATTCCAGGCCACAGCTAACATTGCATGAGTAGCAATTGAAATCAGAACCAGTCTTGCAACCCGCACTAACCAGCGTGGTGAAGTATGGTTACAAAACCACAGTGCCTTACATGGTGTGGAAAGGCATTCATCCTTAGTGGATTGATAATAGCTAGAATTTCACCTCTCATGGCTAAAGCTTATCTCTGACGTATCTAAGCACCTGAATATGAATCACTGCTGCAGGCTCCCAGGACTAATCTCTGTTAATGCCTAAACATTAATCATGAATATCTGCTAATGTGTACCCTCTTGTTTGTTTTTCAGATAAGGTGGTGTAACAATGGAGGCTTTCATTGGAGAATTACGGGAAGTCAGAAGCCTCACAAATGCTGTAAGTTTAATCGGACATTTTAAACAAACCATCGTGGTATATTCATACTTATCATATACTGAGGGAGGAGCGGTTGTTTTTTGGTTCGGGAGGCAGTGCGCCATGCAACCTGCTTTGCTTTTGCGGGCAATTATTGGCAATAAAGCCATCGTTATTTTACGTGCCAATATCGGCCCTCAATAAAGTGGGTATCAGTGTGCATTACAAAGGAACGGTACCGGGGCATGGAGTAACAGGAACGAGAACAAAAACCTGTCACGACCTCAACGGCTAAGACCGACTGAGCAAAATAAATTGCAACCGCGGGCAAAATAAAGTTTCAACCATGCGTAATGAAGATCATAATAAAGGTAAGTTGTAAATACAAAGAAATAAAATAAAAGAAAAATTAAGACAGTTTTTATTTTACATTGTAGATTTCATGGGAAGGCAAGTCTAAGTTTGGTGTGTTTTGCCCAGACCATGGAATGAGAGACAGAATTGAGAGAAACTCGGCGTGATGTTTGGAGCTGCGCTTGAGAAGGCTCCGCAACCCCCAGCGTCGTCGGGTGTACAATCCTCGGCCGGTGAAAGTCTCGCGCCGTTCCCGTGGAATAGCGGAGTGTACACAATGTGCCTGATGTTGGAGGGAGATGCGGTGTTGCTTGTAGATAGGGGGCCAAGCTACACTGTGCTTTGTTGGTTTGGAGAGCAGCGACCTTGAATTGGATGCAGAAGCGGCCCGGTAGCTGGCGCGAGCTGGTGCGGAGGGTGGGCATGATGAGTTCAAAACGGCAACCACGCCGGATCATCCGGGCAGCTGCATTCTGCACTTAACTGGAGTCTCTGCACCAAGTGGATAGCTCTGTGCGTAGAGGGCATTCCCATAATCCAGGCGTGTCGAGATCAAGGCATGAACTAAATAACATCAGCGACGAGCGATATCTGATCCGTTCGTTTTTACGATCTCCATTCTTCATTTCACACCGACCAGCACAGTGAAGTATGGTCAAACTACCCCGTGACCAATGCGGTGTGAGGGAGACCTTAATCTGGCAGTGGATTGACAAGCGACTAAACTATTCGTGATGTTAAACGTGTGGCGTACTCAACACAAGTGTAGTGGATTCAACTGAGTCGCAGACGTACTTCTTGAAGGCAACACATTAATTAACACCAACACGTAACACAAAGGGGTTACTGCCCCTTCACCAGATAACCGATGGTGGGGGACCACCAGGCTAACTACGCTAGTTACTGGGAGTAGCTACAACGGACAGGACCCTAGCTGGAGAACCTCGTCCATGTGTTGGTGACTTCTTCTTGGACGTAGAACGTAGATCGTAGATCTTCAGATGACGGCAACAACGCTGAACCCCAGTCCCTGTGCGGACCCCGGTTTATATGCTGCTGAGTCGTGGCTGGCCCCGCCCTTGGCCACGACCACCTTCGAGAAACCTCTCGTGGTTTCTCGACCCTTCCCGTAGGATCTCACCCTGACACGTGACCACCCCCTAGCCCCCGCCAGGGGCCCCCTGTGTAGATCTTACTGGTCACGTGTCTTCCAGGATCAACCAGAGTGCCATGGCCTAGGGTAACCTCATCCCATGGCTGACACTCTCACACCCCATCCTGTAGGAGTCAGCACTGCACGCCACCCATGGTGCCATTGAGCGCTATCCCAGCGCTCACCAAGCCCCCTCTAGGGCTGATACTACACCCACATACGAGGTGTCCGCGATGACGGTGCATCGCACGCCGTGCCTCGCTAGAGCCGGCAATACACAGCAACATACACGATGTCGCTACACACGTGATGTCCGCGATGTGAGTACATCGCACGCCGTGCCCATCTAGGGCCGGCACCACACAGTGACATCCGCGATGTCACTACACAAGCATGAACGTTGCCTTGTTCGTGCTTTCAGACCCCTTAATGGCGTCTTTTCTCTCCTTCCCTTGCTCGGCTCCTCTCGTCTTTCCTCCTTTGTGTTTCTGCACTCTCAGTCGATTGTGTTATGGGCACATTATAAATGTAAGTTGTTATACAGCGGTCGATCGTACTTCAGAGCTTAAGAGAGGGCAGAATAACCTCATAGTGCACGCTGTGAACAAACAGCGGTATATCTGTGTAAAGTTGATGTTGGAACATGTTTACACTGGCAGCCAGTAGCAAACAACTCTTTCAATAGTTAAAGAGGGATACGTACACTGATGTAAATTTAAAATATGTATTATAATGTAACTGTAGAACTGCGTAATGGTAGGCTTAACGGAATTCTATTAATGCCAAGATTCACGTAGCGATACACTGCATTAAAATAAATGAATGTGGAGACGATTTATCACCTCCGTTGCTTTTCATGTTCATACATTTGTGTCAACACAGCTCTTGTTATGTGCTCTGTAAATGAGAATTTCCCACAATGTATGTCACGTCATATTCTTGGTTTTTTTGTTTCCATGGGTCTCGAGGCCTGGTGTTCATGCTTATTATCCCTTTCCTGGTAACGGTCGCCGCGCGAGTACAACGCCAATGTGCGCCGTACACCCTCCTCCACCCGGCACAGCGAATAAGTGAAGTTGTCACTTGGAACAAACGTGCCAATATTTTACCGCTTTAGCAGACCACTATGTTGGAGAGCAATCCATGTAACGTTTTACAGTTATGTATGACGTTTCACTGGTAATTGCAGTCATCATCATCAGTTCAACTCCTCCAGTGAAAATATCCTCCAATTATGATGCCTTTAAATAGGCGATGTGACGTCATCAGCACACCCGCACAGGTGAGCAGCAGGAAGTACATTTTTTTTATTGTGATGTGTTCCTTTAACTACGTTGGGTATTACCTTTGAAGCCCGGCATCCCTTAAGGAATACCAGAGAAGACTAGTTTAACACATGTGAAGTCGGAATCACGAGGCTTATATCCCCAAGCAAAGCCCAATTTACTTTTCAGATGTTTTACCAACTGGCGGCTAGGCCAGTTGACAATAGCTACAGCAAAGTGCCACAGACTACAAGTCGTACACGTTACTGAAAATAAGTAAACAGTAACAATATAAAAAAAAGCATTTCCAGATTTGTATTTAATGCGGCGTTTCTCCATATTTTTTTGTTTCCATAAAAAGTATCCTCCGTATGGAAGCTGTGTCGGGTTTAGGAAGGTGTAGGACACATTGGCATTGTTCTCATGGGATCTGACCCAAAAAGAAAATCAATTCTGAGTCGTGGTTATGGTGAACTGGCAGTGTCAATATTTTTTGAGACCCATTTGTTAAGTACACAGGCCACATCACATTACAGTCTTTTTGAACGTCTGCCAGCGACGCCAATGTTCTTGAAGTGGAGCAACTCGGAGCATAGGGTGATGGTTTCAGGGCCCACATCTTAAAATTCCGAACGCCACCTTGACAAAATGTGTGTCAAGCCCTAGCAGTGAAGGCGTTCTTTGAAGTTGTGATGTGACATTTTTGTGGCAGAAAAAGTTAAGCCCAAGGATAGTCTAATGAGCTGCCCAAATCTGATGCCTGGGAGATGAGATGAGATTCCTGAAATTTCACAATTTAAATTCCTCACATTTAACCCCAGCATATAATTGTCTTCTGTTTGACCTTTTCAATCCATTTCAATCATTAAAATTTTAATGCTAAAAATTACATGCCAGGGATGTGGCCTACATAAAAATAATAAATTAAACTCCAGCAAGTTGTGTATTTTTAGCAGTGCATTGAGCGTAGACTTTTCTTTTTTAAAGAAACATACACAACTTGCTGGAGGTTAATTTATTATTTTCGGTTACCTTGAGGACCTTTTACAATATGCTGATTGTTGACGGAAATATTTGATGCGGTCTTTAGACAATAGACTGACAGTGCAGACGGACGGGAGTCATCTCTTACGATTGCATTATTCTACAAAATATTACATTCTAATCTGCTTATCAGCTCCTGTAATATTACATGAGTTTAATTAGCATAGAAGCCATGCCTGTATTGTTTGTGAGGCTGCCAAAGAATTGTCTTTTGAGCCTAAATCCCTTGATCCCCACTGTAGCGAGTCAGTGTGCCCTGGCGGTTGTGCCATAATTCACTCAGGTTTTGCCCTCAAGTCCCGTCAAATGTACGAGTGACACCTAGGAAAGGACAATGCAAGCGGTAAACCGTGCGTGCGCGCTTTCATGAACGTCAAGTTCCTCTCGACTGAGAATCTCATCTGTGTTTCAAAAAAGGTTATATTTATTTGCTGGCTGTTTGGTTTTCATGGGGCGCTCCCACTTCAGTGCAACAACGAGTGGCTACCAAGTAATGGGAATCGCTGCCGGTCTCCGGCAGGCCGGCTGCTTAATAATGCACCTTGTTATTTCACGCCCGGGAAAAATTAGCATATCAGAACGGCGCGCGGGAAAAGGGCACGCATCCTTCTCTGCTCGTTTGTGAAGGAGGACATTGCTTCAACTTTTAATGGGGGTGGCTCTGCTCCCGTCTGAAGGATCGCCCGACTCGTACCGGGCGCCACGAGCACTTTGTTTGAAGTGCGCGCGCGCGCGGCCGGTTCCCGTGCATTGCGGGGAGCGGCGTTGGCGCGGCGGTTGCTTTGAGCGGCGTCATTACGTGGGAGTTGAAACGCGACGGACGGTAGTGCGACGTGCAAGGCAGCGTTGTGGCGATGCATGTGTCAAGACCCCGGTTCTGTGTTCGTTGTTATATTATTTAGGGGTGCCACGGTGGCGGGATGTGACCTGGTATGCAAGAGGTCGTTGGTTCGATCCCGACCCTGGCGCCTTAGTTTGCGTGTTCTCCCCGTGCTCGGGTGGATTTACCTCGGAGTCTTCCAGTTTGTCCCTCCACATTTATTAACACGCGTTTAGAGTATTTGGCTGCTATAAATTTCCACACGACGATTAAGGCACTTCGTTGGGCTATCATTTGTGGCCAGGTCGCTTCTCAAAAAGAGCTACATAGCTCAGTGGGCCTTACCTGTTCAGCTAATTTCTAGGTGCCCTTCTGCTTATGAGTA